TGTGGTTGTGAGTGTAGTGGCCTGTCGGGTCGTTACATTGGTTAGGGGGACATTAAAGTCAATCATTTGTCAAAAGATAGAGACAATTATTTGTTAATGGATAGAAAAATTGTGTTAACTTTACTTTTCTTTATTATTTATGTTATATTTTTTTGTTAAAATCCATGAAAATCTAAATTACAAATCTATCAAAATCCATGAGAAACGGAAATACAAAAGTTTGATTAAAATTCAAGTTTTAAAAGTTTTTTTTAAAAACATTCTAAAAGTTATGACATTTCTACAAAGCCTTTTAAAATTCATTAAAATTTATGGGACTTTTTCTTGTTAAAAATGTCTTTTGAAATATCAATCTAATACACCCCCTTAGTGAGATTGTTAGATGTGTGAATTATATATAAATTTTGCTAAAAAATCTCACAAAATTCATTCTTCAAAATAATCCTTTGAAATTTATATTATTTTTAATACCATCAAACTTTTTTAAAGTAAAAAATCTTAATTGAATATCACCATATTTTAACGTAATTTCCAAAAAAAATTTGATTATCTTAAATGAATATCATCAAATTTTGATGTGCTTTTAAAAAAATCTTAATTGTCTTAAATTTCACATGACTTTTTTATATTAATTTTTTTTTATTGAATACTATAAAACTTATTTTATAATAAAAAAAAATCATTTAAAATATTTTGAAATCTCAATCCAATACACATCCCTTATTTTATATTGATGATTTTATGATTTAAAGTAATGATATTCATAAGTTGGATAAATAACATGGTGTATTTAATAATTACAATTTAATATTTATTTAAATTTATTAAAAAAATCCTAACCCCACAATGATAGGGTTATGGATCCGTCTTGCAAGAATGCGTAAGTTTCATATTAAGATAACTATCCCTTAACTTTTTAAATATATAATATAATGTCTCTTACTAATTAACTATTTATTTTAATTTTATAAAACTAAAGCATTAGGGTGTGCAGTAAGATATTTTTACTAAGTGCAAGAGGCAAGAGAAGGGTACTCACCAAAGCAAGTATTCCCTCATATTAGGGTCACTTGGACTAGGAGCATCAGGGTTCACCATTATCTGCAAAATAATGCATGCATGCAACACTAATAAATATCAAAACAACACTACTATAAGTCTATACAGAGATGTGGAATTTAATGAAGAATATATATGGATATATATACCAGAGTGTAAAGGATCCTTAGGTCATCTCCACCAATATCAACTCTTGGTTTGTTGACGATTTGGGAAGGTTTGAACTCACAACTATTGAAAACATTTGAGCAGTTATAAGCAACCCTCAGAGTGACACAACTCGTAAAAGGTTCCAAAACATCTCCTATTATACGTCCAAGAACAAGGGGGTCGTCGGCCATTGTTTTGTTTTCCTTGGCCAATGGATTTAATTAACTTAGAATGGGAGAAATGCATATGCGTTTGTCTAGTTATATGCGTTCTTATGTGCGTGTGATGAATTTATTGACGTGCCATCAATAGATTCTTTTATATATTTTCCTCCTATATAAGATTTCCTTATATATTTATTGGGAAAAACCCAAGTCCCACATCGACTAGATATTA